AGCACTTAAGGAGCAAACCCCATATGAATGCTTTCGATCCAAGAAACCCGATGTTGAGCATGTAAGGATTTTCGGGTGTATCGCATATGCAAAGGTCGATAAGCCACACTTGAAGAAATTGAAGGATCGAACACGTATCCTCATTCATCTAGGGACCGAGCCAGGATCAAAGGCTTACCGTTTGCTTGATCATAAAGCAAGGAGAATTGTGGTTAATTAGTCGTGATGTGGTGTTCGATGAGTCAAAAGGCTGGGAATGGAGTCATAACGAGGCAAGTAGAGACGGTGATGGAAGCTTCACGATTACTCTTACTGAAACAGGAAATCATGGTCTTCGTGATTTTGGAGAAAGAGGTAATCCAAGTGATCAAATCGAAGCAAGAGAAGAAACAGAGCAACGTTTAGAAGAAGAAGATCATGACATCGAAGATGAGGATCATGAAGAAGAAGTTGGTGATACAGGTAGCATACTCTCACCAGTTCTAAGAAGATCACAAAGGAAGAGAAGAATGCCAACATACCTCAAAGACTATGTGTTGCTTGCCGAGAAAGAAGGAGAATTGGTGTTGTTTACTCTTAATAATGAGCCAAGGAATTTTGAGGAAGCTCGAGATTCTAAGGAGTGGCTACATGCTTGTGAAGAAGAGTTAAATTCCATAGAGAAGTTCAAAGTCTGGAATCTTGTGGACATACCAATAGGAGTTAAGCCAATTGGATTAAAATGGGTTTTCAAGCTTAAAAGGAATTCGGATGGAAGCATTAACAAATACAAGGCTCGATTGGTGGCTAAAGGGTATGTTCAGCAGTATGGAGTTGACTTTGACGAAGTGTTTGCCCCTGTAGCAAGAGTGGAAACAATAAGGCTTCTCGTCAAGCTCGCAGCTGCACACGGATGGCAGATACACCACCTCGACGTTAAGACAGCTTTTCTTCATGGTGAGCTTAAGGAGAACGTCTATGTCTACCAACCAGAAGGATTTAAGATCAAAGGAAGTGAAGATAAGGTGTATAAGCTTAACAAAGCATTGTATGGCTTACGACAAGCACCAAGGGCGTGGAACAACAAGCTTAACAAGCTTCTTTTAGAACTCAAATTCACCAAGTGTGACAAGGAGCCTACTGTCTATCGAAAGAAGGTTTGTGAGCATCTATTAATTGTGGCTGTGTATGTTGATGATCTCTTGGTCACAGGTACAAGCTTGAATGTTATTAATCAGTTCAAAACAGAGATGTCATCTAGCTTTGAAATGAGTGATCTTGGAGTATTATCATATTACTTAGGAATTGAAGTGATGCAAAACAATGAGGGAATTACTTTAAACCAAACTCGGTATGCACTTAAGATCTTAGAAGAAGCCGGTATGAAGGAGTGTAACTTGGTGCATACTCCAATGGAAGTTGGTTTAAAGTTGTCCAAATCACACCACGAGAAAGAAGTCGATGCAACAACCTATCGGAAAAATGTTGGTTGTTTTAGATACTTGTTGTATACTAGGCCGGATTTGTCATATGCTGTGGGAGTCTTAAGTAGATATATGCAGAGCCTTAGAGAGTCACATTCAGCTGCAATGAAGCATTGTCTAAGATATCTAAAAGGAACTACATCTCTCGGTTTGATCTACAAGAAGTGCACAAGTATACCTAAACTCATTGGCTATAGTGATAGCAGTCATAATGTTGACCCGGATGATGGTAAGAGTACAGCCGGACATGTGTTCTGTTTTGGAGATAGCTCTATATCATGGTGTTCGCAAAAGCAAGAGACTGTCGCATTAAGCTCATGTGAAGCGGAATTCATGGGAGGAACTGAGGCTGCAAAACAAGCCATTTGGCTCGGAGATCTTCTAAGTGAAATCACGGGAGATGCATGTGAGAAGGTTACAATACGTATTGACAATCGCTCCACCATTGCTCTCACCAAGAACCCGGTGTTTCACGGCCGAAGCAAGCACATTCATCGACGTTATCATTTTATAAGGGAGTGTATTAAGAATGGCCAAATTGATTTTGAACATGTTCCGGGAAGTGATCAAAAGGCTGACATTTTGACAAAGGCACTTGGGAGGATCAATTTCAAAGAGATGAGAGATCTCATTGGTGTTCAAGACTTGAAGAATGATGAGTTCAAGCTTAAAGGGGAGAATGTTGACTTAAGCTTGAAGTAAGCTTGGAGAGCAAGCATAAGAAGATTAGGATTAGGCTTTTATATTTAGGAGTTTATCTAAATATATTTTGTGTGTTTCTCCTAATAGGAATAGGAGTTATAAGTCTAGTTCTTTTCTTATATAAGGAGATGTCAAGTTGTGACATAACTTGTGAGAATTAAGATTGAGAGATTGGGAGCTTTAGGTTTTGGGAGATTTTCCTAAAGAAATAAAGAGAGTGATTCTTTATTTGAGCTTAATCTTCTTAATCTTTGATTCTAGAATACTTACCTCTGAAATATAAAACTGATGAACAATACCATTTGATTTTTTTTTTGAAAACTCTAACTGCAAAACTCTTTTTAAGTAAGGATTAAACTTCAACTCCAAATTCTAATGTCTATAAGTGTAAATATTGTTTCCATAGTCTAAATACTCTAATTGGGTTATGTGAAAATTAAGATACCGAGCAATGAAACTTTTTCAAGCAACGAAACTTTTCCATGTTATCCTCTAAAGTTTAAACTGAATTTTTGAATCAAATGGACATAAAATGTATAAAATCTTATTTTATTTTCTTTTCTTTTGACATCAACAATATATATATAATAATATCTAGAAAATCTAGAAATCTAGATAGAAAAAAGAGAGATGGAAGTGTGGCTACAAATGAAAGAGAATCTTAAAAACATGATTCATGAGCAAATAAGAAATTTCGCGGCGCCTTGAAATGTGAGAGACCTAACACTCGACACTTTCTAAATTATACAAACAAAACCATCAAAACTGCTTTTTCTAACAATTTTTAGAGAAAGTATATTAAGAAATATATATAAATAAATAAATAAATAAAAGTAGACATTTTAAAAGTGGTTTAGATAAAGAGAAGTACAATGAATTTACGTAGCCGCTGGATCACTTAAAGCTGTCTCTATAACTTTACCGAAGCATCTTTCCCAATTCTGTGCTTTTTTTTTCTTTGCTACTATGAAACTTCATTTGGGGTAACTTTTATTTCGATAACTTAACTATACTTTTGCTTTCGTAAGGTAAAGTTAATCACATTTTGATAAAAACTAAAGTCTTATTCAATCAAATATCTTAAAAGAGTAAGAAGTGGACAATGGTTTTGGAGGACTTCCTTGTTGATGTTATATACATCATTTACAAATTATGTAATCTCACTTCCACTTCCTTTATTACTGTTCTAATTTTATTCTAAATCTCAACTCTCAACTACTAATAATATGTATATAGTTCATATTTTTAAACAATTTTTTTTGCTAATTAATTATTTTTTATTATATATTATAAAGGTTGTATGGTTTGTAAATTGTAATCTTCAATCAACATAAAAACTACAAGAGTTGTACTTGTTACTTTATATTTTGTGTCAACTTAGATACAACGGCGAGTAGTGCGACTGTTCAAATTCTATAGACCGTTTTATATTTAAACAGGGGTATTTGTAAAAATTGATAAATGAAAAGGATATTTTTTAAAAGAAAAATACACCAAAAATGATATTTTTCAAAAATTCTCAAAATTTTTTTAATAAACACCTGTAGAATATTTTTTATTATTAAACACCTGTAGAATAATATATATATACTAATTAGTTTTTGTTTTTATCAACATAAACGAAGTATATTAAAGGGTCTATTTTAAGATTTTGTCCATTGACCAATAAAATGTTTGAGGTGGCACTGGTTATATGATATCCCATGCAACTATACTCGTTGTCGAGGTGGTTTTTTTCGGTTTTCAAAGATTAACTGATCGTTATATATATGCATGCAATACGTTGTAAATACCACTTGTGATATATCTGCTTTGCATATACAATTCTCTAGGTTAGAACTCTTTAGAAACACTCTCACAGAACCATACCACAACAACAGTACGATCTAGATAGTTCACTCGACCACCAGAGAGGCTCTAATGAATTTTAGAACGTGTGATTCGCAGTCAGAACACTCTACAACACGCGAGAGCCAAAATGTTCACACACGTACGTACACGCAATGTTAGGTTTCAATAAATATTTGTGTATATTATGACGTACCAAACATAAACACTAATAAGAAACAATGAACATTTATAGTTTGAAAATAATAATATTAGGCATGATACTTTATAAGAAACAAAAAAAAAAAAAAAAAAAACGTACCCGACTCATCCATATCCAATGTATATATAAACCCCGTTAAACCATCTCCATTACACAAAATTTGGTAGATGTAATTGTAATATATAATTAAATATTATATAATGGATGTCTTAAATAAAATAACAAAATGTTTTAGAGTAGATAATTTAAATATAGTGTCTCACATCCTCAAAAAAAAAATTTTACAATATTAATTATTTTCTAAAAAAATATATGTTAAGAAAATAAGACACTCTTCACAATTTGTCAAATTAATGGAGATGATCTTAGAAATTAAGTAACGTAAAATTATTATTTTTTGAGATTCTTTATCATCATCAAAGAAAGAAATAATAAAAAAAATTTCATTCAAAAAAAGAAATAATAAAAAATATCGAATGCATACGTTTGTAAAAATGTAGGCACGATGCAAAATTTGATTAAAGAGAACGTGCATAAAAGGTTAAACACAGAAAGAAGAAAAAAGTAAGTGATCCACTACATAAATTAGCTTATATCGACGTGGCCAACTGTGAGAAGATTGCTGCGCGATTAAGTAAAACATATAGCCGTTAATTAAACAATACGACAAGACTCTTACAAAAGCTATGACTTGTGACCGTACCTTTTGAAAACACATGCACTCTCTATATAAACCCTTAAGTGCACTTACCTCCAATGTTCCTTTCCATGCTTATTAAGTAACATCTACCACCAAAAGAAGTTCTTGTAGCTGATCTTTACAAAGAAGAAAATATGAAGAAAGCTACGGCATTGATGAAACATATCGTTGCGATGTTGAGTTCCGTGGCAAAGGCTAAATCTATAGCCATAAAGAACAAGACAAGTGCTTTCAAGACAAGAGTACTCATGTTGTCTCTTGTCAAACACAAGAAGCTCGGGTTCCGTTCGATTTCCAACAAGATCCACAACCTTTTAGGCCATGCAGATCAAGATCAAGATCATGACGTCAACGACCAAGACCAAGACAAGACCAAGGCTATAGTTCTCTATAGTAGCAAGGCGGCATCCACAATGGCTCATCATCATGAGGAATACGACGTTCACGAGGACAACGACAAGTATCCTGATCTAAGGCATACGTTGTTCGAAGGAGATGATGATTTCGGGGACTTGGAAGAGGAAGGCCAAGGCAGTTCTGTGATAGATATGGTGAGGAACTCCAAGGAAGAAGAAGGAGAGAATTTTAAGCTAGAAGATGAGATCGACCATGTCGCAGATCTCTTTATTTCAAGGTTTCATAAACAGATGAAGCTTCAGAAACTCTTGTCTTTCAAGAGGTATCAAGAAATGCTAGCCCGAGGAACCTAAACGGCTATATCCATATATAAGATCGACCATATAATATATAAACATGTTGGCGATTGATATGAAGAATAGATTCATATTATGATCTTTTGCTAACGTTCTTGTTTTGTGTTGTTTATTATAAATCTTTCGAGCTCGTTTTGTTTTATAGGATCACAATATCATGATCTCTTTTATTAGATATGTTTTATTCAACATGGGCTTAAGGAAGGATCTATTTTGTGGAATATGTTTTCTTCCTCCTAGAGGTCGTATTATGTGTAAGCTCGATCTTTAAAGTGTTACAATATTGGGCATTCTATTTTTTTTTCCCCTTATATTTCGCTTATACAGTCCTTAATTGTATTTTTCATATAATTTGTCTCAATTACTCTAGACTCAACAATTAGCATTGATCAGGATCTCACATGGTTAATTATGTTTGTTTGATTTTCTAGGTCTACCTGAGCCACTTTAGAATTTAATTAGATGATTTGTTAAGAAATTAAGTAGTTTGTTAAGAAGCATTTTTACATAAGTAAGTAAGTTTGTATAATATTATGATATATTAGAATATTGAGATGTGATACGATTCTATCATATAAGAAAATTTCATTATGTATAAATACTCTTCTTATGTTAACGAATAAATAAGTTTTTCTAAATTATATCATATAACAAGAAATACTTTGATACAATAGAAGACTGAGGAGATGACAGCACCGAGACAAAAGAACAGAGACACCAGTAAAAGATAAGGCGATGCTAGTAGAAGTCTCATCACATCTAAGATGACCCAAACCCGAGGTCTGGTTGTGGAGATAGGCGATTTAGGAGAAGTATATAACCAACTTGTTTATGGTGGCATGTACTTGCGTACAATCAAACAAACCGATTTGGTTATGGCCTGTACTTGCGTAGGATCTTGAAAAGATTGGTCGCTGCGATAACAAATTCATGTTAAGCAACTGATCATTGAAAATCAAAGAGAACAAACAAATAACCAATCTAAGAATTTGGAACCAAGTGAAACTGAGAAGCCGATAAATCAACTAAACCAAAGTCGCCGATGGTGATAACGACGAAATCAGCCTCTACCTAATGCTTTCTTAGGTACCCTCGACTCGAAAGATGCTCTGTTGTAGGAGATAGGTGGAGAGAGAGACTCGAGAAGGAAAGGAATAAATAAGAGAATTCTTTTTTTTAATATATGTATATATTATTTCCTCACCCAATCAATGATCGACTGTTAGGGGATTTTAGATTAGTTAAACATCGATCCTTAAATGGTTTTTATTGAAATTAATCATTTTTAATCTTAAGTAACTCTTAAGCAACCCACTAAGAACCCCTATTGGAGGTGTTCTAAGAAGTTGACACGTAGCTTTTCTCATTATCTTTAATTTAAAATATTCAAATTAGTTATATATTAATATTAATATTAATATTTATATTTAATTCAATTATATTATTATATACTACACTTCTTCGCCTAAATAAGGGTTGATTAATGCTTCTACACCTATAAATTTGGGGTTTTAATACCTAGAAAATGCGGTTTATTAATTATTTTGCAAATTAAGGAAACAAGTTTACAGAAGATTTACAACGATACACAATGAGAGCCGTTATCCGTGATTCTACACATGTAGAAGGAAGTGTCGTCCATCCGAGGAAGAAGGGTAATATGTGTTAAATCTATTAGGGTAAAAGAGAATAGTCTATAGTAGAATCGTCATTGTAACAATTCTCATAATTAGCACCAATGAATAATTCAAGATTTAAAAATATATATATTCAAAACCAAAGAAACCATGCATTCTGTTTTTATTAACTTTGTCTATATTATGATATATGAGAGAAAAGGTGTGAGTTCCCTAAAATTATATCTAGTTCAATGTGATTTTCCTAAAATTATTTTATATTATTCCTACATTCAAAAATATATAACTCACATTATCAAATAAGCATCTGGTTAAGTATGTAAACAACTGTCCCAGTTGGTTCGTTTGAGTTGATCTATTAGTTTTGTTGACAAAATTTTTTTTTATTATTCTATCTTATTTACGTAAGTAAAAATAAATAACATAATTTAATTAAATTTGCAATAGATATTAAACTGAATAAAAAAGGAACGAACGACGAGAATTAAACTGATATAATCTTATAAAATTTCCTCTAAACTCATTGTCATGCTCTACAAAGTTGACATGTGGCTTTTCCCATTCTAACATGTATCTTTAATTTAAAATACTGAAATTAGTTATCTATTTATATAAAATTTTCGTCTAAACTCATGCTCTAAGAAGTTAACACGTGGCTTATGTCATTCTATCATGTGTCTTTAATTTAAAATATTGAAATTAATTATGTATTTAAATTTTCTTTATTTAATTATATTATAATATACTAAAATTATTTTGCGTATATAAATATATTAAGATTCTTTCAAAACAAGATAAACCATTTATTCTATTTTTACTAGCTTTGGTTATTATTATATATGAGAGAAAAGATGTGAGTTTCCTAAAATTTTATTTATTTCCAATATGATTTTCCTAAAATTATTTTCTATTATTCCTACATTCGAAAATAAATAACTCACATTCTGTTAATGTTAAACTGTTTTGCAATAGTTTTTAGTATTTGTGTTTTTAATAGTGTATCATATATTGATACTTAAATCATATATATGATATTTAAAATATGATTTCACATATAAGGAAGCAATTAACTTTTTTTTTTCAATCGATTGTAAAAACCTTGCTTCATAACATTATGCACGATCAGTCAGGAGCTGAACATGATGTCGAACTTTGCAACAATCAAGAATTTGATTGACCGATAACACTACGCAAATCAACCAATTAGATTGATCTCCTAGTCGATCATAAGTCCCAGGGTTGATGAGCTAGATTGATCTCCTGATGCAGACATCGATTCTACTGTCCAACCCACTGAACCACAACCTGTACCACATCATGTACCAGTCGTCCCAAAATGTCCTATGACACTTTCAAATTCTAAACAGCTTAGAATGAGATTTAACTTAGCTATACAAGACATTGTGAACTCACTAAAGCTGACTCACGACATTTGGTCTTAACCCAGATGAGTCTTGAACGTACCATTTCCCTATGTATGAATTCTCCTTTGACGAGGTAAAGGCAAGTTTTTAGGATTCCCAGAACTTTTTGGGAAGAAGGAAAAAGACCTCTTTACAAGTATTGCTGATAAGATCCGGGGAAGAGACCACATTGGTCCTCTAGGTTCTTATCCTCTGCTGGAAAATTGGTCATGCTGAAGTCTGTACTTGCACCTATGCCAACGTACACAATGTCTTGCTTCAAGCTACCAATTGTATAGTTATTATGTATTAAGGGTGCTTATGTCATTAGTTTATACCTAGTACTCTTTTGTATCTCTATATATACTTGTACAAACTCTATTAATAATATCAATCACATTCTCGAAACCTATATGGTATCAGAGCAACGATCAAACTAAAACATAAAATTTTATTTTTCATACACCTAAGCCATCATAATGTCGTCTTCTCCAACCACCGGTTAAGTTATCATCACTGCCGCTCAACAACAAATCTTCAACATTAGCACTTCCAATGTTACTAAGCTCACTGCCACTAACTATCTTTTGTGGCGTAACCAGGTTTATGCCTTGCTTGATGGCTATGACTTGGATGGTTACCTTGACGGATCCACCGCGGCACCACCAACCACCGTAACCAATGCAACTATCGTCACTCCTTATCCGGACTATCAACTGTGGAAGCGACAAGACAAGTTCATCTACGGTCTCTTGCTTGGATATCTCTCTCTCTCTCTCTGTTCAGTCGCTAGTGTCTCGTGCAACTACCTCGGCCGAGATTTGGGAGACTCTTCTCGACACGTATGCCAAGCCATCTCGTGGTCATGTTCGTCAGCTTCGCACACAGATCCATCACTTGACAAAAAGAAACAAGACTGTTGCTGAGTATAAGCAAGCACACACCACTCGTTTGGACAACCTTGCAATTCTCGATCAACCTATTGGGCATAAAGAAGATGTGGAACACATCCTTGCTGGTCTACCAGATGAGTATCGTACGGTGATTGACCAAATTGAAGGGAAAGACAAGCTCCCCTCTCTCACTGAAATTCATGAGCGTCTTCTTAATCATGAGTCCAAGCTCATGTATGCTGCTGCGCTTATGCCCTCTCCTGCGCCGGTCACAGAAAAAGTATCGCAACAACAACAACAACGTCAACACCAACTGGTAGTAAACACAAACCAATTGGCAACCTTCACAAAACAATAGGCAAGGGATGAGAGTCTCTAAGCCTTACCTTGGAAAATTTCAAATTTGCAGTGTGCAAGGTCATACCGCTCATCGATGTCCCCAGCTTCAGTCGCTTCAGCTTGCTCCTTCCATGAAACCTTCCTTTTCGTTCACTCGGTGGCAGCCAAGGGCAAACTTGGCGATGTGCTCTGCCTCCTCTTACAATGCTAATCCTTGGATTTTCAACAGCGGTGCACATCATAGCATTAATGATCTCAGCAATCTTTCTCTCCATCGATCGTACACCGGAGGAGATGATATTATCATTGTTGATGGGTCTCCTCTTATGATATCGCATACGGTTTTTGCTCTTTTACCCTCTGCATCTCGGAACCTTGCCTTAAACAAAGTTTTTATGTCCCTAATATACATAAAAACTTGATCTCGATGTATTGCTTTTGCAATACTAACCAAGTTTTTGTTAAATTCTTTCCTGCACACTTTCAGGTGAAGGATCTTTGAACGCAGAACGAAGGATGAGCTCTATAAATAGCCTTTGCGTGGGTCTCAAGCTCAGTTGCTGTTTGCTTTACCAAATACGAAAACTTCACTTGCTTTTTGGCACTCACGTTTGGGTCATCCCTCATCTCTACTTTTAAAATCGATTTTATCTACTTTTTCTTTACGTGTTGCCCATTCTTCTCAAACACAAATTTCTTGTTCGGATTGCCATATTAATAAAAGTCACAAAATTCTTTTTCATCAAACCTCGATTGTTTCTTCTTTTCCTCTTCAATACATATTTACTGATGTTTGGACCAGTCCTATTACATCAATCGATACCAGCAAATCTATATTATTAAAGGAGTAGTCGAAAGTGCTCACATTCAATCTCACAAAAATATTACTAAGTTACCCTTAATGAAAAATATCCCTAATTAAAATCTTTTCCTTAACCCTTAATTAATTAAAACAAAAAAAAATCGGCTCTTTGCAAGACAAAATCGAAAATTTAGGTCAGACCAGGTTACCGTTTTACCATTAATGAAAAAAT